GGCTGAGGCAGGAGAATTGCCTGAACCCAGGAGGCGGAGGTTGCGGTGAGCCGAGATCGCGCCATTGCACTCCAGCCTGGGTAACAAGAGCGAAACTCCGTCTCAAAAAAAAATAAAAAGAAAAATGAAGTCTATACTGCTTAACAGTAGTTTGTTCCAGGATAATATTACTAAGTTTCTCTTGCAGTGAATTGGAAAGGTAAGTAATAGCTTGAAGCGAAGTCTAGCTTCCATGTTTTACCGGCTTTTAGGTATCTAGTATGTATTAATCCCAACAGGGCTATAGGATTTCCAGGTAATGCCCTAATATAGCCTTAAAGTATATCAATCATCTTGTTAAGAAAGAAATCAAGTTGGTTTTATGCATGTTATGTTATATGCCCTCACAGACCTATGGTGACTAGCCTAATGCTTTTGTCCTCAGGCCAAGCCGTTGTTAAAATAAAAATATTAGCTACAATTTTTTAGTACAGATTTTGGATCGAGTATTGTGCTGTCATAATCTCATTTTTTACTTCAGCACCATAAAACCATCACTCTGAAAATGCACTACCAAACAAAAAAAGCTGCGTCTCTTGCATTTCTAAACAAAAATCAGCACATATCTAGGTGCAGAGCAACTGACAGAGCCAGTGTTGAAGTTTGCTTTCTTGTTTTGACACATACGTGTACCTGGGGCAATTTCATTTAGAGTAATGGTTTTTGCTTTTAGTGAACATCAATATTTCAGGTTGAGTTTATAAGGAATATTTACATTCCTTAGCACAAAAACTTGCAGTGTAAAGGATGAGATGTTTAGTTCTCCAAAGTCACAATTTTCTTTGACTAACGATTCCATCACCAGGACTTTGTCTTTAAGATATACTTACAGGTATTCATTGCTTATTGTTTGCAATAGTTAAAGAATGGGAATCACCTGTATGTTCATCAGTAAGCTACCAGTAAGTGAAATTATGAAACATCATAGAATAGTATGTAGCCATTTAAAAGATGAGGATGCTCCAAGTGCCAATAAAGACAAACTGCCAAGGTATGGAAAAAAAAAAAGGAAAACAGAACTGGAAGAAAAAAGGAGTATATGTGTGTGTGTCCTGTCACAGACACACATATGTATTATGCGTGGAAATATTAGGTTGTGCCAATACTGCACTGCTGTATGGTGTTAACAGAAATGGAAGCGGAGTGTTTATTTCTGACATCGTGAAAGGCGGAGCCGCAGACTTGGATGGGAGATTGATTCAGGGAGATCAGATCTTATCTGTGAATGGAGAGGACATGAGAAATGCCTCACAGGAGACAGTGGCCACCATCCTCAAGGTGAGTTGCTAGGCTGCTTTTTACCCAGCCGGCACAACTGAAGTCTAGTGGGAACCGTTCCAGTCTGGCTTGATTGTAAAATGGGTTGGATGATGCTAACTCTAGGTTTTACTAGAAATTTAATCTCTGATTATTTTAAATGAGCAGGAATAGCTTTAAAAGAAAGTTCTGTTAACTAACAGAATTAAAGGGAACCTGCTTTGGGATTTCACAAGGAAGTTTTTCATACTTGTGAAAATTCTGAGTATCCATGATTGTTCTCTAAATGCGTTTGATGAGATGGGCTCTCCAGAAGCCACAGAATTCATCCCCCTCTCTCTAGGGCTATGCCTGTTGCTTTCATTACCCTTTTATAATATGTGGCTGTAGGGAGAGGTTCTGTTATGATATTTCAGAACATAAATGCTACTACTTTTCATTTCTGTTCTTTTCTTGCCTTTCCAAGTGCGCTCAAGGGCTTGTGCAGATAGAGATTGGAAGACTCCGAGCTGGTTCCTGGACCTCCGCAAGGAAGACGTCACAGAACAGTCAGGTTGTCGATGGCTTCTCATCAGACTGACTCACTCTTCTGCCTCCATTGGGAGAAAGTTTCCCATTTAATAAATGATTGTTTGGAAACAGTATCTAATGTACAGCATATTCACAGCACCAAGTTTAGTGAATTTTCTTTTTTTTTTTTTTTTGAGACAGAGTTTCACTCTTGTTACCCAGACTGGAGTGCAATGGCGCGATCTCGGCTCACCGCAACCTCCGCCTCCTGGGTTCAGGCAATTCTCCTGCCTCAACCTCCTGAGTAGCTGGGATTACAGGCACGCACCACCATGCCCAGCTAATGTTTTGTATTTTTAGTAGAGACGGGGTTTCACCATGTTGACCAGGATGGTCTTGATCTCTTGACCTCGTGATCCACCCGCCTCGGCCTCCCAAAGTGCTGGGATTACAGGCTTGAGCCACCGTGCCCGACCGAATTTTCATGTGTTTGAAATAAAAATGAAAGGTGGGATAGAAACTCATTAATCCCTAGATTTTTCTTTCCTTTATTGCTTGCAAATGTTTTCTTAGAACAATTTTTCTCTCTCACTATTAGTTCTACATTGCCCATGCCCGCATGTACACAGCTGTGTTTATTTAAAAAAAAAAAAAAAAAAAAAAAAGAGGCAACATCTGGTGGCAATTTGACCCTCATTAGCACAACATTGTTGTATTCATTCAATTAAATATTGCTATAAAGTTAACTTGCGACTAGCCACTCACACATGCTGAGGGCAATTAATGGCATATTCCTAGGAGAACCAAGTGTGGGGGTTTTTGCTGTGGGAGGGAGGCCTTAGTGGGTGATATTTTGTGGGTTAGCAAACATCTTATATTTATTTGCAAGGCTGATGTAAGTGCCATTTTTTTTTTTTTTTTTTTAAAGTGCTAGTATTTTTTTTTTTTTTTTAGCAAAGTTTGTTTCACCATATATTTTTTTTCATTGTAATGGCTGACAAAATCAAGATGGTAGAGTATGTGGTTAGTCCCATGTGGCACATAATGAGACTATAGAAACTTATATGTGACCCCTTAGTCTCCTCTCTGGGTTATGGATAGGCTGCCTTAGTTTTGAGGTCAAAAGCATGACTTCTGGTCCCCTCCCTGGTTGCCTTACTTTTGAAGCGTCTCCAAGGCCTTTGCTCAGAAGGTGCTCTGATCTTACAGTTAGCACACAGGCACTTCTGGAAAGCTATTAGCTGCCTCCTGTTCCTCACTGGTGTTAGAAAATGAGCGAGGAAGATACCATTGTTCAGACAGGATTACAGACTAGCTGGCTTGTCTTAGAGAACCTTCAAAGCAGTCAAACCCAATAAATACCATATTGAGTTTGAAACCTTTTCTTTTTTTTCCATTTCTGGCTTACATAATGGGCAGCAAATATCTAAGACACAATGCTGCGGTAGGATTCCATGAGTGAATAGTTAGTGATGACATTGACCAGACTTATCAAAGAACAAAACAGTTGTGTAGCCAGGCTTCTTCCTTAATGGAAGACTCATCTTTGTTGAATTATTTCTTTAAAGCCTTATTGTATACAGAAGATTAGAAAGAAGCTATTCAGAGGAGGTTCCATTGAATCTCACTCCAAATGGAGTCTGGGGAAAAGAAAGAAAAGGTATCTCAGGGAAACTAGCATACATAAAGGCACAGAGAGGTAACAGGAGTTTGTGTGATATAAGGAAAGTTTGGACTGATCAGCAGGTAAGGTAGTGGGTAGACCTGGATTTCTGTCCTTCTTGAGCAATGCTTGAGAGCGTCTTCATAATTTTTTTTTTTTTTTTTTTTTGAGACGGAGTCTCACTCTGTTGCCCAGGCTGGAGTGCAATGGCGCGATCTCGGCTCACTGCAAACTCTGCCTCCTGGGTTCAAGCGAGTCTCCTGCTTCAGCTTCTCGAGTAGCTGGAACTACAGGCACCTGCCACCACATCTGGCAATTTTTATATTTTCAGTAGAGACAGGGTTTCACCATGTTGTCAGACTGGTCTCGAACTCCTGATCTCAGGTGATCCACCCTCCTCGGCCTCCCAAAGTGCTGGGATTACAGGCCTGAGGTACTGCGCCTGGCTGCATCTTGATAATTTTTAAGTTCACACCAGTTAAAGACAGAACTACCAAATTTAGAAGCTATATCATTAAATGTCCAAAAAAGGAAAAACTATCATCACCACTTACCTGGTATATGAATGTGAGCCGTCATATTTCGGAAACCTGGGACAAAGTATCAAGCACTTTGCCCTAATCTTCTTGCACAGAATTTTAATTTCAGAGGGCAGAAGTTTAATTCAATTTTTAAAAACAGTAAATGTATCATCGCCTGTGTTTAGAATTATGGGTGACATATAAGAGTTTGCCCTATTTGGCTAATTAGAAGAAGGCTGGTAGCCAACTGTGAAAAGGAAATGTCTTCCTTTGATTTGCAGTAGGTTTGAAGGTCTCTTTAAAAATAAAAATTTAAAAAATTTAAAAAAAAGGAAATGTCTTCCCATCATCATGTGCTGAAGACTGTGACCCTGGTGGATAAAAACAAAATTCCATCGCCAAATATTTTTACATCCTGACCCACTGAAAAAATCAGGATCTTGTAGGAACACAGGAGCAGTTACAAAATAGGGAGATCAATGCCTTCTTTTGAGGGCCAAGTACAATCAGCTGTTGATTTAATTCATAGAAAGTGAGTTCACTAAGAGAGAAATAACTTCTAGCTTTGGGGCCACCAAGCATCCTTTTTTTAAAAAAAGTGAATTTTCTCACAAACCAGGAAGAAATTTCCTTACTCCTCAGGGGAAAAAACACTTGCAAGATATTTTCCTCAGGCAACTAAGGGAACACAGCCAGGCAAAGTGTATGTTTATAAAGATCTTGGGGCTGGGCTAGGTGGCACATGCCTGTAATCCCAGCACCTTGGAAGGTCAAAGTGGGCAGATTACTTGAGGACAGGAATTCAAGACCAGCCTGGCCAAAGAGCCTGGTGAAACCCCGTCTCTACTAAAAATACAAAAATTAGCCTGGTATGGTGCCAGGCACCTGTAAACCCAGCTACTTGGGAGGCTAAGGTAGGAGAATCACTTGAACCTGGGAGGCAGAGGTTGCAGTTGACCTGAAATTGCACCACTGCACTATAATAGCCTGGGCAACAGAGGGAGACTGCTTCCAGAAAATACAATACAATACAATACAATGCAATACAATACAATACAATACAATACAATACAATACAATACAATACAATACAATACAATACAATGCAGGTCTTGGCAAACACATAATTCTGAATTCATTTATTTATTTTTTTTTTTGAGATGGAGTCTTGCTCCGTCACCCAGGCTGCAGTACGATGGCGCGATCTTTGCTCATTACAACCTCCACCTCCTAGGTTCAAGCAATTCTCCTGCCTCAGCTTTCTGAGTAGCTGGGACTACAGGCATGCGCCACCACGCCAAGCCTATTTTTGTATTTTTAGTAGAGATGGAGTTTCATCATATTGGCCAGGCTGATCTCAAACTCCTGACCTCAGGTGATCCACCTTCCTCGGCCTCCCAAAGTGCCGGGATTACAGTCGTGAGCCACCGTGCCCGGCTATTCTGAAATTTTTTTAAGGCAAAATTATAATATGCTGTACTTCCTCAGTTCTAATTAGTTATCTATTATAGTATCATTTATTTAAATCATATCCTTTAAGGAAAAATATACAAACACTTCTTTAAATGTGTATAGCCACTGTGAAGTATACTCAGATCTGCAGCTTACTTTGAAATAAATTTTTTTTAAAAAAGAGGCGGGGCGTGGTAGCTCACGCCTGTAATCCAAGCACTTTGGAGGCTAAGGCGGGAGGATCACCTGAGGTCGGGAGTTCAAGACCAGCCTAACCAACATGGTGAAACCCCGTCTTAAAAAAAAAAAAAAGATGAGTGATGAATAGATAAATGACAGCGATAAAGAAAAGATAGCAAAATACTAATTGTGAAATCTAGGTGCTATGTATATGGATGTCTATTGTGTAATTCTTTCAGCTTTTCCATGTATTTGAAATTTTTCATATTTTAGGAATTAAAATATTAAACAACTTTCATCATAGAGTTAAGAAAATGGACCAAATTATAATTTATGAACTGATAACAGTGATCCTAGTCTTAGCTTAAAATTTTGATGCAGAATAATTTGGTAGAAAAAATTATTCATTATTTGCAATATTGTGGTCTACTTCAGGAAGGCCCTTCTCTGTGTATACAATTTTTGTTGAATAGCCACTAGCCTTAAATGACCACACAGTATTAACCTCAAATATTCATTTCAGTGAATAAAGGGACAGGTAATGGAGTCTAACAGATTGGACTAAATTATTACTGATTCTAGGAAAATCTTTGAGAAAAAAAATGTTATATATCCCTAAAACAGGCCTTTTTCCCTGAGATCTGGTGCTTTTTTCCCCACAGTTGAGGGTTCTATTTTGTCTGGTGTCTGCTAATGAAGGTCTTATTATACTTGTTTTAGCAAAATACATAATACATTTTGGGTAATAAGGGAATACACATTGACCATAACCCTAAATGAAGCATAGTCCCCATTAGCTGACTATATATATATACATATACACACTATGTGGCAACCTAGGAAAATGGCTTTGATTTTATGTGGAGCAAGAACAGCTCAAAAGATTGTATGTTCTCCACCTTGGTGATTGAAACCCTATACAAAAGCACACATAATGGTGAAAGCAATGGAGGAAATGGCTAAATGGGATTGGGTTGGGGTAGTAGGAGAGTAAGTGTGGGTGATTTTTGTTTTCTTTCTTGGCCTCTTCAGGATTTTCTGTTAGATGGTTATGGCGACATTGGCACGCTAGTGGATAAGTATGCATTTTTAGGGCTGGGCAATGTCTGCACACAGGTGACCCCTGGGTCTTTCTTTCAGGGCAGTCAGCAGAGCTCACACAGCAGCTGTCGTCCCTCCTTCGCTCCTGTCATCGCTGGCCTGCAGAACCTGGTTGGCACGAAAAGAGTTTCAGATCCTTCCCAGAAAAATTCAGGTATTACATGGACACACTCAGAGCAAAACTGTCCTGTTACCCAAAAAAAAAAAAAAAAAAAGTGTTTTTTAAAAAACAGCCTTCTTTAATTTAAATGATTTTAAAATTTTTGAGCTTAGCCACATAAGCTGAGCTTTCTGAATGGCCTGTTCTGAAGGTGGGAAAGCCGTAGAGATTCCTTCAGTGGTGGCCAAGTGTGGTAGCTCACGCCTGCCATCCCAGCACTTTGGGAAGCCAAGGCAAGTGGGTCACCTGAGGTCAGGAGTTCGAGACCAGCCTGTCCAACATGGCAAAACGCCATCTCTGCTAAAAATACAAAACAATTAGCCAGGCATGGTGGCACACAACTGTAGTCCCCGCTACTTGGGAGGCTGAGGCAGGACAATTGCATGAACCTGGGGTGGGGGAGAGGTTGCAGTGAGCCGAGATCATGCCACTACACTCCAGCCTCAGTGACAGAGCAAGACTCCATCTCAAGAAAAAAAAGAAAGAAAAATTCCTTCAGTGGTACAAAACAAAGCACCTGAAAAACAGGAAAGCAGAAAGCTGGAATGCATCATAAAGTAAAATTATTTACAAAGAGAAAATTAATAAATCACTTGCCACTGGAGGAAGGTTAGAGTGTGTATACCTTGTATGGGAAAACTGGGCCAGTTAAAAGAAAACAAAGTGTGTATACCCTCGGTGGCAGGGTGGGACAAGAGGTCCTTTTAAGTCTTTTGTTGAATGGAGGTTATCTTTGATGAAGGTAGAAAAAAATGTACGATGAAACACGTGATGACTCATACAATCCTAGCACTTTGGAGTCCGAGGTAGCCTGGCCACCTGAGGTCAGGAGTTCGAGCCAGCCTGGCCAATGTGGTGAAACCTCTCCTCTACTAAAATTACAAAAATTAGCTGGGCGTGGTGGCACATGCCTGTAATCCCAGCTACTCAGGAGGCTGAGACAGGAGAATCATTTGAACCCAAGAGGCAGAGATTGCAGTAAGCCGAAATTGTGCCACTGCACTCTAGCCTGGACTACAGAGTGAGACTCCATCTCAGAAAAAAAAAAAAGAAACCCACAAATGACTCATCCTTGAAGCATTTACTCATCATATTCCAGGCTGCTGCTGCTATAAAGTCCATCAACTTTTGTCAGACCAAATGATTATGGACACATCGATCTCAAACGGAGATCACTGCTTTAAAATAGAGAACACAGCAGGCTGGGTGCAGTGGCTCACACCTGTAATCCCAGCACTTTGGGAGGCTAAGCCAGGTTGATCACTTGAGGTCAAGAGTTTGAGACTCACCTGGCCAACATGGTGAAACCCTGTCTCTACTAAAAATACAAAAATTAGCCAGGTGTGGTGACAGGTGGCTGTAATCCCAGCTATTTGGAGGCAGAGGCAGGAGAATTGTTTGAATTTGAGAGGCAGAGGTTGCAGTGAGCTGAGATGGTGCCACTGCACTCCAGCCTAGGTGACAAAGCGAGACTCCGTCTCAAAAAAAAAAGAAAAAAGAAAACATGGCCCCTGGTAACTTGGCTACCAGCTTGGATGCTGAGGAAGGGTACAATACCTGCTTGTTTTAGTGTCTTCTCTTGAAAGACCTAGAAAATGAAACCGTTTTTCATGGGGCAATATTATATCTTAAATATATTATTTTTTAATATTAAAAAGTTAATTGTGTTGCTTCTTTATTTATAGGCGCAGATATGGAACCAAGGACTGTTGAGATAAACAGGGTAAGTCAGTTATTTTGCTATATACATTTTTCTGGTTTGTGTTAGATTTGCATTAAATGTACATTTTCCCCAACAAAAGTTATCGGACTGTAAGTGTGCTCCTTCAAGTTATTGAGGTAAAAATATGGTCTATAGGCCAGGCATGGTGGCTCACACCTGTAATCCCAGCCCTATAGGAGGCCGAGGTGGGTGGATACCTGAGGTCAGGATTTGAGACCAGCCTACTAAAAATACAAACAATTAGCCAGGCCTGGTGGTGCGTGCCTATAATCCCAGCACTCAGGAGGCTGAGGGAGGAGGATTGCTTGAATCCAGGAAGTGGAGGTTGCAGTGAGCCGAGATTGTGCCATTGTGCTCCAGCTTGGGCAACAAGAGCAAAACTCTGTCTCAAAAACACACAAACAAACAAACTATATATCTATAGTCTATATAACATTAAGAAATAGGCTTAGAAAAGTGCAGTAGAACAGATATGACCTCTATGAATTTTTTGGCAAATCTCATCTGCTGTAGTTTTATTTTTATTTATCTTTTTTTCAATCTTAGTCTTTTAACCTGCACATGTAAAGTTTTATAAAACAAAAATGGTATCATGTGGCACATACTAAAATAAGAATTTTTTGACAGGATATAGCATGATATTTATCGACTGCAGTACTCCATCATATGAATGTGATGTCAGTTTCTTAACCAGTTTCCTATTATTGGACAATTAGCACATTTCTCAATTTTTGCTATCTCTTATAGTAAAAATCATTATATTTTTGCCCATATCATGGGTAATTTCCTCAGGATCAATTCTTAGAAATGAAATTTTTGGTTCAAAAGGCAAGCTTGTTATTAGAGGCTTTTATATATGTTGCTAAATTGCCCTTTTGAGAAGATTGTATAAGATGTATTTTAGTTCATAAATTTGTCGAACCCTGATTTTCAGACCCCTATGTGATGATATTCAATGAAAGTAGACTCTTTTTTGCTTTTTCTTTTTGAGATGGAGTCTTACTGTATTATTGCCCAGGCTGGATCTCAACTCACTGCAACCTCCACCTCCCGTGTTCAAGTGATTCTTGTGCCTCAGCCTCCGGAGCAGCTGAGACTACAGGCATGCACCTCCACACCCAGCTAATTTTTGTATTTTTTGTAGAGACAGAGTTTCACCATGTTGGCCTGGCTAGTCTCAAACTCTCGCCCTCGAGTGATCCGCCCACCTCAGCCTCCCAAAGTGCTGGGATTACAGGCGTGAGCCACTGGGCCCGGCTGAAAGTTAACTTTTATTTTGCTCACTTTGACCTAAATTAGGAGTTCAAGAAGGAATATTGACCCTCTGGTAATCATGGTAATCAACTGCAGTAGAGTGATAACCAGCATAGCTTACTTCTCTAGATTTAATAATACCTCTGTTTGAAGGCATTAGTTTGCTAGGTCTGCAATAACAAAACACCACAAACTGGGTGTCTTGAACAACAGCAATTTTGGCCAGGCACAGTGGCTCACACCTATAATCCGAGCACTTTGGGAGGCTGAGGCAGGTGGATCATGAGGTGAAAGATCAAGACTATCCTGACCAACATGGTGAAACCCCGTCTCTACTAAAAATACAAAGATTATCTGGGCATGGTGGCACGTGCCTGTGGTCCCAGCTGCTCTGGAGGCTGAGGTGGGAGAATCGCTTGAACCCAGGAGGCAGAGGTTGCAGTTAGCCAAGATCGTGCCACTGTGCTCCAGCCTGGCAACCAAGTGAGACTCCATCTCAAAAAAAGGAAATGGACATTTATTTTCTCACAGTTCTGAAGGCTAGATCCAAGATAAAGGTGCTGCAGGTTTGGTTTTTCCTGCGGCCTCTCCGCTTGATTTGCAGACGTCCGCTTTTTTACTGTTGCCTGACATGGCCTTTTTCGTGTGTGTCACTCATCATCCCTGGTGTCTCCCCTATGTCCTAATCTTTTCTTATAAGGACACCAGTCACATCGGACTAGGGCACACCCTGGACTTATTTTAAAGGCCCTATCTTCAAATACAGTCACCTTCGGAGGCCCTGGTACTTGAGGCTTCAACATGTGAATTTTAGGGGAACACAATTCAGCCTGTAGATTAGTGTATGGCTGGGCATGGTGGCTTATACCTGTAATCCCAGCACTGTGAGAGCCTGAGGTGGGAGGATCACTGAACCCAGGAATTTGAGGCCAGCCTGTGCAACATGGAGAAAGTCTTGTCTCTACAATTTTTTTTTTTTTTTTGAGAAAGAGCCTCGCTCTGTCGCCCAGGCTGGAGTGCAGTGGCACGAACTTGGCTCACTGTAACCTCCACCTCCTGGGTTCAAGCAGTTCTCTGCCTCAGCTTCCCAAGTAGCTGGGATTATAGGCACCTACCACCACGCCCAGATAATTTTTTTTGTATTTTTAGTAGAGATGGGGTTTCACCGTGTTAGCCAGGATGGTCTTGATCTCCTGACCTCATGATCCACCCGCCTTGGCCTCCCAAAGTGCTGGGATTACAGGCATGAGCCACCGTGCCTGGCAATTTTTTAAAAATTAGCCACAGCCAGGTGCGGTGGCTCACGCCTGTAATCCCAGCACTTTGGGAGGCCAACGCGGGTGGATTACCTGAGGTCAGGAGTTTAAGACCAGCCTGGCCAACATGGTAAAACCCTATCTCTACTAAAAACGGAAAAAATTAGCTGGGCATGGTGGTGGGCCCCTGTAATCCCAGCCACTTGTGAGGCTGAGGCAGGAGAATCGCTTGAACCCGGGAGGCAGAGGTTTCAGTGAGCTGAGATCGTGCCATTGCACTCCAGCCTGGGCAACAAGACCAAAATTCCATCTCAAAAAAAAAAAAAATTTAGCCAGGCGTGGTGGTGCATGCTGGTGGTCCAGCTTCCAGCTATTTGGGAGGCTGAGGTGGGAGGATTGTTTGAGCTCAGGAGATTGAGGCTGCAGTGAGCCATGGTCACACCACTGTACTCCAGCCTGGGCGACAGAGTAAGACCTTGTCTCAAANAAAAAAAAAAAAAAAAAAAAGACAAAAAAGGAACAACAACAAAAAAGACCCATTAGCTCTATAATAGCAAGTCAACCTCAATTTTCTCATCTGTAGAATGGGGGTGGTAACACTAACATACCAAAAGATAAATACTGTTGTGTGGATTAAATGAGGTAATGAATGTAATGTCTTTAGCATAGTACCTAGTGCATTATGAATGCCCGGAAGTGGCCTCTGTTATTGTTAGCTGCAGCTTTCGCTGAGTCTGCCTTATCTGTTCCCAGTATTTTTCTACCAGAGTAGCAATTAAAATGTTCCTATGATGGGGAAGTGAAATGTACCACAGTATACACAATCATGGATAAGCTATGGAAACATCATGATGGATTTAAACAGAGCCAGAAAATTGCTGCCTAAATTTCTCCTCTAAGATTTCAAAAATAATATGATTTTGTATTTCCTTAGTCATTTCAGCCACTTGTTTTTACAGGCTTTTGTAATAAGGCCTGCTCCTACCTCCCCTATTCTCCTACACATGATCCAGGCAGAAATTTTTTTTTCAGACGGAGTCTCATTCTGTTGCCCAGGTTGGAATGCGGTGATCTCAGCTCACTGCAACCTCCGCCTCCCAGGTTCAAGCTGTTCTCCTGCCTCAGCCTCCTGAGTAACTGGGATTACAGGTGCATGCTACCACGCCCTGCTAACTTTTTGTATTTTCAGTAGAGACAGGGTTTCGTCATGCCAGCCAGGCTGGTCTCGAACCCCTGACCTCAAGTAATCTACCCGCCTCAGCCTCCCAAAGCGCTGGCATGACAGGAATGAGCCACCACACCTGGCCTCTAAACTTCCGTCATGCTGGTTCGGGTCTGCCACACATGTGTAGCCTGAGAGTTCTGTGGGTTCATAAACAGCATTGAGGATTCATTTTCTTCAGCTTCCTCTATTCTGCTTTTCTTCTCTTCCCTTCTTTTTCCTGATTCTTCTGCCCAGAAGGATGGAATTTCTATCTGAATGTTAGCATTCACCTTACCTTTCCAGCTCCATGACTGGGAATTGCCCTCAGGGTAAAGCTGCCAGGAAAAAAAATAAAATTGGGGATGTCCCCCCTGCTGCTGTTTCTCCAGGTTTTGACTCTCCACCACGCTTTATTTGGTTTCTTTCTGTTTAAGAGACCACAGGATGGCCGGGCGCAGTGGCTCACGCCTATAATCCCAGCACTTTGGGAGGCCGAGGTGGGTGGATCACAAGATCAAGAGATCGAGACCATCCTGGTCAACATGGTGAAACCCCGTCTCTACTAAAAAAAAAAAAACAAAAAATTAGCTGGGCGTGGTGGCACATGCCTGTAATCCCAGCTACTC